TCAGTTGTGGATTCCAGCTATCGTTTTCAGTAATGGATTGACATTGTGAGATCGTTAAGAGCTACTGTGGTCTTGTAGATCATGACTATAGTTTTTAGTCTTGTGACTTCTAACGTTGCTTCACTGCCGAACGGTCATTTCTAGCTCTTCGCTGATCTATCTAGTTTTCCACTTCAAATCCTTCAAACATCCCGGCTTTCAACCTAAAGGTGTTATTAAGTGAATGGATTGATATAGACAGATATAGACAAAGACCAAGATAACTGTGTATAGATTGGTATGTATATTGAAGGCAAGGTCTAGGATACAATTCACTCCAAGAATCAAGAAAAGTGATAGTATACTCAGTGGCAAGGTGCTCTCGGTGTTCGGTTCAGTTTGCAGGTATGGGCAGGGTTCAAGACCCACACGTGACCCACTTGACCAACCGAGTTGACTTTTGTTGGATTGAATTTTATTTCTTGATCGATTCTTAAATGATGCAATTCTGGTGTCTCTGGTTTGCATAATCTTATCCACCAGACTGATGCGAGTTGTAGGCGATGATCTGGCACTTGTACTTACAAAGCCAGGTGGATCCCCCGGAGAGGCCGGGGGGGGAGGGTGGGGTGAGAAGAGAATCTTATAAAGTGGGAAGGCCCCACCGGCTTTACGACAAAGGACCTGTGGCCCAATGGTTACGGCGCCGAGCTTATGTAAACATCCCCTTAGGGGAGTCTTCATGTCCTTCCTCGGAGATTCGTGGTTCAATCCCGCGCAGGTCCACTTTTTTCGATCCACAAATGGGGATGAAGTTGAAAATGGATGTGATCTACGGAGTACTCCGTACGGAGCATGTTGTACACATTCATGATATTAATTACGTCAAACTACGAGAATAGGTCGGGAAATGATAGTCGTGGAGGTATATAGGTGAAAATTAGCTGTGTAATTGATGTTGGTGACTGTAAGAGGTGTCAGCGTACCATAGAAAGCACTTAGTCCGATCGGTTTTAATAAGGGCTATACATGGAACAGTAATTTTACACACCACGAGCCATTTTTAACCGTCTATACTCTAGCTATAACGCTAATTGGGGGAAAATTATCTAAACAAAAGACCTCGAAAAGACCAAAATGGCTCCATAAGGCAGCGAGTGCCCGACCATTCTTGTTAAAAAAAAGGAAATTGTGGTTATAAATACGGCCGAGGGGACGGGAAGCCTAATGTCTAGAAAGACACCTAAGAGGACATCCAAAAAGTCCTCAGGCCTTTGAAACGTGTATCTTCATTCCACGATATCCTGTTCGGTAGAAACCATGAGGTTGCGATCAGGAACAGCGTCCTTGACAAATTTGACAAATATTGGTGCATTGTGATCGCATACTTCATCAGTGGGAGCAATCAACCCCACCCTAGCGCTTCTTCATCTATTTCGTGCCGGATTTCTGTATCTCTAGAAATTAATTTTATCGTCCTTTTTTTTTTAAAAAAAAAAGGTTGAAGCCCACCTTCCATTACTCGCTTCATGGTCATCCGGCTGCACGGGGTAAAGAGATTCGCCACTGAGAAGATGCACAGATGTGAACGACCATTGGAAACGAGTATCTTGAAGGGACGGGAGACCCTGTGTGAGATACTGGCCCTTTCGCGAGTATGGACATTCAGAGTGCCTCAAGGTTTTGTGTGTTGTCTTTTTTCCTCACAATAGAGTTAAACTCAGGGTCCGAATAGAAAATTTCTCCGATTTGTCGGAACGGCTCGGTCTGACCCCCATTTTTAACGGTCTCGTTAAAGAGGCCAGTGCTAGTCCGATCAAATTTTGCACCAGAGGCGTCACTGCACGGATGTATCTCGATGATGAGAAGGTGAATTTCCTCCTCTGGAATTAGAAATGAATGGACAACCATGGTGAAAACCACAAGCAGAATCAATAATCAGTCTCAGTGGCAATGCTCGTAATATCTCAGTACACTATGTCTGATCGTACGTCCTTGCTATGGTTTTGTAGAGCGTAAGACCATGGGGCTTGAAGGTTCTGGCGGTCTCTATTGCCATTATATCGATAATCTCGTTCCAAGGGTTGACATTAATGATGAAAGGTAGTTAGCGCAGTGCCTACGTCAGGTGGGCCACAAACTCCTTTTCCAAATAGTACCATAGTGTGGCTCTGCTAAATCCCGGGCCGGGACCTGCGTCGTATACTCGTCTTCAATGAACGTTGGACTATAGAACAGGGTTTGGCGTTCTCAGCTTCGTCTGGAGCCGAGAATTGGCTGGGATGAAAGCGCACTCGACTTTGCTTCGGTCTGAGCTCGAGAGCCAACATTGGGTACAACTTCATATTCATTTTTCTCAACCCTCACTAACTAACGGGGAAACAAATGTTGTAATGTATAATGTAAATGTGGTTATATCGTTCTGCTACTAAGACTGAGTTTCAAAAAAAAAATTTACAAATGTGTGATGAGCACTTTTAAATCCCTATTTATTAGGAGCTCCTTTCGATTACTATTATTTCGAACTATAGTTAGACTTTATTTACTGTTAAAGCTGTCTTTAACTATTACCATGTCTAACCGTGGTTAGAAACTATCGCCTACAGACTTGAAAAAGTTTCAATATAGAAAACGCCTGGCATTTTAATATCAACATCAAATCATAATAAAATACTCTTCCAATCTCTACCCACAAGAACATTAATAACCAGCCACTGAGCATTTGTTCCAAATAACCTAGCCCATAGCTTGAGAACAGCCAATTCCAAAGAAGCTGGTTCCAGATCTAGCAGCACCTCGCCGCCATCCGTAACACTCATCATTATCTCATGGTTAGCCGTTGGCAGATGAGAGAGAGGCTCATATATTATCCGCGTCTCTTGCCCCTTCTATCGCCTTACTTCGATATCAAAACTTATATTTCTACCGTTCGACGAGCTTGTATATTGCGAATCAACAACTCTATACTCTAGAGACTTAGGGGCATAAGCTCTTAGGCTTCTTCGTAGAGGTATGGTTATAGGGATGAATAAGAGATGTCAGAAATCGAACAGTTACACAATGGGCGGATGAATATCTTCAAAGGGAGCTCACAAACAGCTCATAATATACTAAATCCGCGTTGTCCGAAATGCCATTGAACCAATGCTTCGTACAAGTATTGACCAGAGTTTCCATGTAATGAGATATCATGTGAAGTCATATCCTGAGCTCAGATATGTACAGTGTCTCTAGTCGCGTTATACATAGTCAATGCCGATTTGGTAACATTTTTCTCTCACGTGCAACTCTAGTGGCCCCAAGGAGTATATGTCAAGTGTTAAAATGTTCTCATTTCCCAGGAACAAGAAGGAAATAATGCTCCTATTCCTAGGGTACTCTGGACGAGCCCTTAGATATGTGAAACCCACTTCTGTAGCTAGCATAGTTCGCCAGGACAGTTTCATGAGTCGATATTTAGCCGATGGCCCTAAAGTGAAATGAAACAGGTATGGCTCTATATAATGCCTTGGTGGTATTATGTATTATGAATGTATCTTGAAAATCAGAAGTGTTTCAAGTATTGTGGCTTATCTATCTTAAAGCGGGGGCTCAAGTTCAACAGCGGAGTCATTGCAGCGGCATATCCTCCGTACAGTGTACAGTGAGTGGTTTCAATGATTATATAATTCCCAGACGCGTGCTCAGTTTTACTTAGAGAGCCAAAAAGCGGCAAGGGTTAGTCCCTAAAACGGAAAGGGAAAGCCAAGAAGTCGGAAATCAAGCACATAGGACTCATAGAGTATTTCTGATTGTTCTATTTACCAGTCTATATTCTGCCTTTCTCATTCTACACTCCCAAAATGGCCCCCAAAGCACTGCAAAGCATTATTGGGTGGCTTTATGGCTATTCTGAACGTCGAGTTCTCCTCGTTGGAGAGGTGGCCTCTGGGAAGACTACGTTTCTTTCCCAACTTATTCTTGGTCGGGGAGTCTACACAATTCCAACCATGGGCCATTATCCCATACCCTTTGGGTATAAATTGCGCAAGTATATGCTCTGGGATACTGGAAGTACGTTTATCCTTCTTTCCGGACAACAGATCCTTATGCTAAACGCATCCAGTGGGATGCTTTCGGTACCCAAATTGGTTCGCATACTTGTATACCCCAGATTCATCCGTCTTGTTCTTCCACGACTGCACCTGGGATGAGGAACACACACAACAAAGCCTCGATCTCCTCTCTAGCATTGGCAGAGAAATGCTCCATGTGGGTCATAGAAGTTTATGGATCATCTTAAACAAGCAAGACTCTCTGTCTGCACAAGGGGTTGAAAACCTACGCCGGATATATGACGAGAAGTTGAAGGAAATGTTTGATGATCCGGTAAATTGCAGAGTTATTGATTCTTTCGTGAGTGGAAAGACGGGGGAAGGGGTCAAGGAGGTTATGGATGATCTACATATCTTTATGACTGGCATAGAACAAGGCCACAATCATCAACCGACATCTAAACAACCAGCCCCAAAAAACGTTCAAAAGGAGCAGATATTAGAGGATCATGACCTCAAAATGCGAATCGAAGAGGAAGGCTCCAGAGACAAGATGGATCCTCAGCAATTTTGGCGTTCCTTTTTGGATGCTAATCTGACGGAGTGGGACCATCGCTGTCACCTTAAATCGGGCTTCATTGTTGCCTTGGAGTCAATCAAGGAAGGAAAGAATGTGTTCGATATGGCGGAGATGTTCCTGGGGCATCTAAAGAGACTGAGAACGATGAAACCCGATCTTTTTCGCAATACAGAACATCGGTAAGAAGCCTTGGCAAATGGATGATGCTTTCCAAGGACATATGCTGAATACATGGAAGAACAATGACAATTTTCTGGCTCTCGCAACTGCAAAATGCTATTTTAAAATACAAAATCCATACTGAGAAAGACGAATTCCCATCCTGGAGTGACTTTCAACAAGTGCTCCTCTATACACCGTCACTGATGAACACCGGCCTTTGGAGACTATATTACACCAAGGAGCATATGTTCTCTGAAACAGCACGGGAGTCATGGTCACTTCCTGACCTGCAACCCCTACCGGGGCTTTCAAGTCCACACCATGATTCTTCCTCCGGGCATGCCCATAACCCGGACCGGCTCCTCCAGTACGCCTTTGCAGTTGTCCAACATACTCTCACTTCAGGCTCTCGTCGAGGCCAAGTTATCAAGGAAGCACTTGATTCGCTCAAGATGACGACAATGCGCCTCAGAACGACAAACTCGTCCGTGCCCCCCTATTCCGAAACACAAGCCTATTTCTGGATTCAAGTAGTTCATTCTGCCATCCAATCACTCAAGGCAGCTCCTGGAAGTTCAACGAGCGAAAGGTCAATACTCGACATCCCTGTGTCGCGCATTAGCTCCGCCACTCTCAACGCGCTTTTCGGACTGAATTCGTCTACTTGGAGACACTACTATTCCGAGAAGGTCTGGACTAGTGTTTCCGCACGTATGGGGTTTGTCCAACCAGACCTCAAGCCGATCCCAAATATCGTCACCATCTCATCTCGATCCCAAGAGCAGGCCGCTCTTTTGAAGCAGATGGAAAGTACTCTACTACGGAGGAGTCCTGGGTTGCCAACTTTCGAGTGTCTTTCTTTCCAGGCAATCTGGGTCATTCGAGATGTACAAGCATTGGCCAAATCCTCGATGGTGAATTCTCCTAGAATCTCGAGCCATTCCCACTTGTTACTCTATCTGTATACGAAGCTCGTAGTGGGGTCAGGCACCGGTCTGCCAGGAAAGACTGCATTGGAACAAGCAGAGCAAATGTCAGGTCCTTGGGTAGATTCGGTCACACACAAGATGTTCTGGATCCAGGTTTTCTTCACTGCCATGGCGCGTGCACAGGCTTCTAGGAAGATAGCCGACAAGCAGACATCCCTGGAAACAGTCACATTTGAAACCTTCATTCGAGGTAATCTCCATCTGGTTCATCAAGATTTGCCTAGCTTATATTACACCCCGGAGATCTGGGAAAGTAAAGAGGCATCCAAGGTAATGATTGCGCCTGATAGGAGGAGGATGGATGGGTTTCTCGAGTCAAAGAACAAGGATAGGCTGGAAGATTTGGTTTTTATCTAGTTTAGCCGTTCAAAATGGAGCCATCTCCAACGCGTTTTCATCAGGAATTGTTGACGGCATCTTCACTCTTTTAGATAGGATCTTGTTGAGATAATGTCTCTTCTTCCTCCATCAGCGGAAGTGGGCTTTTGCTGTGTTGACTTCCGGTGTTTCTCTCTCCTTTCTAACCCGGTAGACTGCAGAGCGGCGCTCGTCCCAACACCCTCATCCCACCCACTACCCATCTGTTGAGATATGACTTTCTCTTCTGTAGCGCATTGTACATACGACCATAGGGTGTGGAAAACAGGGCTTCCCGTCCGCTCAGCCGTACTTAAGCCACACGCCGGTGAGTTAGTAGTTGGGTGGGTGACCACCAGCGAATCCTCACTGTTGTATGTTTTTTGTGATTTTGTTTCGCGATCAAAAAAACGTAATGCCACTCGACCCTTCAGGCCCTCTACCTAAGTTCCGGAAGCAATGATGGATCCTTCCTCTCCTATACTGATGTCTTCTCTTGACCATGTTATTCTGATTACACCTTTTTCACAGGACATCGAGAATTTCTCTGGCCTTTACCAAGGATCAGAAACAAAAGAGGTCAATCAAGCTTGCAGAATATACGGCCTCTCTGATCTTGAAGAACTTGCCAAGCTAACTATCGAGAGATTGGGCGACAAAGATGCCGATGCTCGACATACTTTGCACAACAAGAGACGTGGTTTCAAAACTTCTCGGAGAAACCTGGCTTTCGAATTACAAACGATTGCCAAATCCGGGACAAGTAAGCATTGATCTGAATGATCTGTATAGTTTTCTCGGCCAAAATCGTTCTTTTGATAATGCTGTAATGAAAAATATGCTCGAAATCCTGTCATTTCAAATCGTGTCTTCGAAGAATACCCTGAAAGACGGTAAATCCCATTGGCAACGATTTGACATACCAGACTGTAAAGCGAAATCATCTCACTAAGCTCAACTTCAAAGAGGAGAAATAAAACCTCCAAAGTCAGTGCCAATAGTAGCCTGAGGTCACCGCCGAAGAGCCTCTCGCAGAAGGACCTCTCGCTGAAGAGTGGCCTGGAGCCTCTTGATCGAGCGATGGCGCATATGCTGATACCATCATGCTACCCGATGAGACAGCACCACCAATTCTACATCCCACAGAAAACCAAGCCAAGGCTGGATCATTTGGGGAAGTTTTCGGTCGCAGAGTTAGCATTGTATAGGAATTGGAATAATTTGTTACCAGCTAGAAGGGCTTAGAGGATTCTCAAGCTCACGATGAAAGGTCTCCCGACCCCAAGCAAAGATGGATTCATCTCGGTGTTTGCGAGTTGAATTTGTCTGTTGGATTGTACCGTCTCGTGTTGAGCCTGTTCTTGAATTTCACTGAACTAAACTTTACCCCAAGATTAATAGTCACGACGCTTTCCACGATGCCAGTACTGTTGCATGGAGGGTTTCTTTTCCTCATCATTATCTGGTGGTCCTTTCTGGATTGGGATGTTCTTAAGAGCTTTTATATCTGACTGATAGGTAATGGACGGGTGGAGTATCTGGTGGGTCTGGATGGCCTGTCGGAACAGGTTCCATGAGTCTACCCAAACTGCTAGTCCGCTGAGAGCCTGGAAACATGGTGAGATCCTGATGCTGAGTTGTCCCATGAATCACCGCATTGTTGGCAGTGCTGATTTGGGAACTATCCGATTCAATGGTTCCTCAACGAGAAAATCGATGCGCCAGAAACCGTATCGTCGCAAGACAAAGATGATCCAAAGGCGTCTGAAGAGAGCCAAATGTGTGATGTGGATGTATACGTAGGGTTTTCGCGGGAGACCGGTCTAATCCACATTGAGTCCGTGGATACTTCTGGGTTTGGGGGCTTTTCTTACTTCAAAGTTGGCATAAATGCTACACGGTATCGTCCATCAGAAGTTTCGCAGACGTTTCTGAGCTCCTGCAACTGAGGTGACGGATCCGGGGAAGAAACAGCATCCAAAGACCCACGATATGCTCTTCACAACAGGGCTTACATTCTAGAGTAACAGGTATCACACTCAACTTAGGTTTCCCCCATAATCGTGCCCGGCATTCAGACCACCAAACGGTTTCCGAAAGCATCATCCTCCGGCGATGACCTGAGAGTCAAAATTTGCCAACCTACAGGCATAATGATGCGGAGTGGGTGGATTGCCATACTGTGTAATTCACCCAACCCTGTTTGGCTCCGTCAACTCAGTAAAGAAAGGGGAAAAGAAAAGGAAAGGGCAATGGCATCTTCTTTTGATGTACAAAACGGACTTCAGTCCATGTGGAAGAAAACAAACCTCGCGGTCCAAAAAAAGACAGGGAGATCCTCGTCACTCTTGTCCAGCGCTGATTGAGACTGTATGCAGGCTTACAGCATCACGAGACCAATGCCCCCCATCGTCTTCTCATCCGGGAGATTTTTTTGGTTGATGCCGCCGGGGACAGGAGTCGTCCAGTAGTTGTACAGGTAGAAATGGAGCTGGCTAATTCCGGCGTTGAACTTGAGCTGTTCGAGGAAGAGAGGGTTGTCCTGGGTGGTGAGCGCGTTGAAGACGTCGAAGTGGGCCTAACAGACATAGGAAGAGATTAGTATCGACAGATAAGTGGACCGTGAGGAATTAGACAAATGGGCTTACCCGCTTAGCAAGGATCAGTGCATCGTTCATCAGCATGAGGAGCCGGTCCTTGTGAGCCTTCTGGTCGTTGGTGAAGGCGGTTTCGGTGGCATAGTAGTACAAGTAGGCAGTGCGCACTTCCTGGTGTTTTGGGTGCTGGATCACAGTGGATGGAAGGCTATAAAAGGAAAAGAAGTCGGTGATATTATGCGTTTCAGCATCCTCCACCACGTACGACCACACCACCTGCTCCTTCCCGAGGCTCTCCTTGTGCACCAGCCAGTGTGCGACTTCCTCTTTCGTGAACGCCGGGTTCAAATCGTAGCGGCGTAGGTAGCGCTCTAGCAAATCATGCATCGTGTCGATATCCTTAGGTTCCATAAGTCGAAGCCGCGGGGTCGACGTACTACTCGGAAGATAGTTCCTGGCAACTTGGCGGGCTTTGGTCGAGCCGTAGGGGAGCGGCGAAAAGCCGACCTCGTATAGTTTCAGCCAGTCTAGAGAACGGTGATAGTAGCGGCACGAGCTCACCGGCGTGGGGAGAACTACACCGGCGGTGTAAACAGCCTGGTAGATTCCATTTAGGTAGCAGCGACGAGTAATCTCTTTGATCAGAACGGGGGCCAGCCGCTTGGACCGCAGCTTCTTGTGAATGCAAAGGAAGTTGATCTCTATGACCTTTAGCTTCTGGCCCCGGATGCGGACATCTGTAGGCACACCACAGATTGACGCGACTAGCTTGCGGGACTTAGTCGCACGTACGCCAACGTGCCACTCCTTTTTCCAGCCGGGAGACATCAAAGCCCTATATGTATAAGCATGCATGTTGGCGTTTGATCTCCACTTCTCCCCTGATACGGAGACCATGATAGCACTATCAACCCCAGCCAACGTACCAGTGTAAAAACGACTGAGAGTATCTGAAGCGGAACATGGCGTCATCGTCTTCCACATAGTGATAGGTTAACAGATCCCACAGCTCCTGGAGTTCCGTCTCGTTCGTCAAGTCGAGAGTCGTCCACTCAAACCCCTCGATGAGCGGATCGGGCGTCTTTGAGACCTTCTCGGGGTCAATTCTCTTGATCGGACCGTCGGTGACCCCGCCAGATCCATCGAAGTGAGGCACCGGCTGCGTCTGCCAGAACTTGAAAGAAGCCATGTCCTTGTGATTCTTTCCTCCCACCGCAAGCCCGCTCGATAGATTGGCGATATCTATCGTGCGCCTCGTGGCGTTTTCCTTATCTATTACGCCCAACACGTTCTTCAAGGCCGGGCTACTCTCCAGCACTGCTTCCACGGTATCCGGGGTGCTCTCCTTGCCAGACAATTTGGCTTCGATTGCATCGTCGGAATCGGAGGCCTGTGTCTTGCCCTTATCTTGAGAATCCACAAGGTTCGACATTGTGATGGGCGGTCAGCATGGGAAAGAGGGAGCGGAGGAGGAGCAAGAGAAGATGGGAGCCTGAATGATTACGTCGATTGATACGGAGTAGGGATCCTTTAGTCAGATCTAACATAAGAAAAGGGGCACATGAACCCACGTGAAGTGTGTGCATCTAACTGAATGCGGCTAGTAGAGAGCTGGGCAGAATAGAATGCCAAAGTGCGGCATTCTTTTGACACGTCCTCGTTTTCTAAAACAAACAATGTGGCTGGGAGAGATACCCTCAGAAGGCGGGACGAAATCGAGTCTTCGCCCCCCCCCCCCCAAAAAAGGCCCACAGATAGGAAAACACGAGGTGGAGACATCATTGCAAGCCAGCTCTGGAATTGACCTTGCCTAGTATAACTTTCGGATGAGTATACTTGACATTCTATGACAATGTGGTTGAATCCGACCACGCAATATCGTATACAAATATCCTCCAGAATTGGGATGGTTGGCTCCTGGAGGATGAGGAATAAAGCATGAGAAGAAGGTCGCGTAAGTGGTAACGCTATCAAATGCACGGAGTACACTGCCAACGGAGCGGTGCACACTAGCTTGGGGGCTGTATTGCGACCTGAGCTCGTGAAAAGCCTGAGGAAGATAAGACTGATGATATTAATACTATCATTATCATTGTTCTGTCGCTCTGTTCGATCAATTGCGATTGGGAGAGAAAAGGAAGCGGAAGAGAGAAGATTGACGAGCACAAGAGACACAGCCAACAACTAAATCAGGCAGAAATTGAGGCAGAAAGACTCTCACCGCTTTTCTTTTAGGACTGTTTCCGGCCAAATGGTAAAGTGGTCACTCCCATAGGATCGCCCAAGAGAAATAGAGGGAGGTTTTTTGTTTCGTTATCCAGGCCTTTCTCGTTGATCAAATTGTGCATTTAGCACAAAATTGACCCACAAAAAAACGTTACTTCCTCCAACCCGTGGTGCACCGACATTGGATTCTTCCTTCACCAGGTGTACATGGTCAAATAGAACACACCCCATCCAGGAAGCGGCGGGATGAGCTAGTGATGGTGCCCTTTCGATACATCACCATTGAATCCCCAAAAAAAATCTAGGGACAACGAGGGGTCTAGTGGCAGTGGATAGGACCCTACCTATGTTGTACATTCGTCTGACCAACTTTAACAAAGTGATCCTACGGAGTACTCCGTACAACAATGCAGGATCCGTTAAAACCTGCCACGCTTCTTGAGCCAAATTTCGTTATAAGGATTAACCGTGTCAAGCGCCTAACACACTCAGTGCGCCTCACTTGACGATAATTTTTCATCTTACCATCCACTTTGTTAGCATTTTACACTATATCACGATGTCAGAAAAAAAAACAAAAAAAAAGTGAGGAGCAAATTTTTTGGAGCTACTGATACATTCGGTCTAAATTAAAACATTCAAATAGCTTGTTTGGAAATTCGGGGTTCTGTGCGAACGGCCCGAAAAGATTGACGCGGAAGTACACCTACCGCTACTAGCCTAACACGGATATTAAGCCTAACTTGGGGGAGATGATGAAAAACTTAGATTAATACCCTATACCTTTGTAATACATACAAAACCCCCTTCTCTTCTTGAGAAGGCTCTAGATTTAATTCTAGACCGCGCTAGAAGCGATTAGATCGTAGGCCCTAATTGAGCCTACCACTTTAGATGAAGACCACCCTTTAAGACACCCTATTTTAACCTAGAATTGCTGGACAAGTGTGAGCTTCTTAAGTATTAGAATCTAGTGTCACTTTCGGTTTATGGTGTGACGAAGCGCTACTACGTCTATTGGTCGTACTCTCACTCTGACATAATGGTCTTTTGGCCGAGAGGAAGAGAGTGCGCCCAGGCATTACCTTTACAACTAGCCTTGACAGACTCTTAAGACTCATGTCTTACCCTTTACGATCTTTAAGTAGGATGAAATCGGCTACTAGGTGTAAAGGATACAGATCCTTGTCATGGAAATACATAGGAAGTGACGAGTCTAGTGACGTGACCGATCTGAGAGGGGTACAGAAGAAACATAAGCACTAGTAGATAAATATCCCTATGGATAAGAATCCCCTAGGATCCCTCCTACTTCTAGTAAGAATCAGTCTTAGCACACTTCAGTAGAATGTATCATGTCTCCTTCCTAGCCAGCGTATCTTACCCGGCTGATAGGCCTTGCACCCAAATCATCGTATGTGTATACCTTTGTGATACCCTGCATTCAAACTCAAGTAGGGTTCATATAATGGGAAACCAAAGGGGTACAACGTCAGTCTTTATAATAGGACTGACCTGGAAAGTCAAGGGGACCCCCGTCATCTGTGATCTGATCCGAAGGGACGTATCTATATCAATCCCCTCACAATATGTATTACGACATTGTATCTATGTGTCTGAGAATGCAGGAACGGTGGAAAATGAACTCTAAATCACGCCATCTGCAACCCGCCATCTTAAATCGACCCTCTTCCTTTTCTTCTTGATCTTCTTTGTTTCTTTTTTGATCCTGAGTATCTGATTGCGTGACAACATATTCCAAATTGAGATAACTTCCCCACATTCCTGAGCCATGTCTGAGAATCTCCACTTTGACACTCTGCAGCTTCATGCTGGGTAAGTGATCCCCTCAATTGAAAGACAAATCTAACACAGAGCTCAAGTCACGAACCCGATTCAGCCACAAACTCTCGCGCCGTCCCAATTTATGCAACTAGCTCTTACGTCTTCAATGACTCGGCCCATGGCGCGAGGCTCTTCGGCCTCAAGGAGTTCGGCAACATCTACAGCCGAATGATGAACCCTACAGTCGACGTCTTTGAGAAGCGAATTGCAGCCCTGGAAGGTGGTGCTGCCGCCGTTGCTGCCTCATCCGGCCAAGCAGCCCAATTCATGGCCATCTCAGCCCTCGCCCATGCTGGGGACAATATTGTCTCCACGACCAACCTGTACGGCGGCACCTTTAACCAGTTCAAAGTTATGCTCCCGCGCATGGGAATCACTACAAAGTTCGTCCAGGGTGACAACCCTGAAGATATTGCTGCCGCTATTGATGACCGTACCAAGGCGATCTACCTTGAGTCAATTGGCAACCCCCGCTACAATGTTCCGGACTTTGAGGCCATTGCCAAGGCTGCACATGAGAAGGGTGTTCCGGTTGTGGTATGTTGTTTTTCTGGAATGCGTGCAAAAACTCAAAGCTTACGAATCTTACTCTTAGGTTGATAACACCTTCGGTGCGGGTGGCTACTTCGTTCGCCCAATTGACCACGGTGCCGACATCGTCGTACACAGTGCTACAAAGTGGATCGGTGGTCATGGTACCACAATTGCTGGAGTCGTGGTTGACAGTGGAAAGTTTGACTGGGGCAAGAACGCTGCTCGGTTCCCCCAATTCGTCGAGCCATCCGAAGGTTACCACGGGTTGAAGTTCTGGGAAACCTTTGGCTCGCTTGCTTATGCTATCCGAGTGCGTGTGGAGATCCTGCGCGACGTTGGTTCTACTCTGAGCCCCTTCGCTGCCCAGCAGTTGATTCTCGGCTTGGAGACTCTGAGCCTGCGATGCGAGCGACACGCAACTAACGCTACCGCCCTGGCTAAATGGCTGCAGAAGAACGAGAATGTGAGCTGGGTGTCATACCTTGGTTTGGAAGATCACCCTAGTCATGATCTCGCAAAAAAGTACCTGCCCCGCGGCTTTGGTGGTGTGCTATCTGTGGGCATCAAGGGTGGCGCTTCCGCTGGTGCTCAGGTCGTTGACAACTTCAAGTTGATTTCGAACCTTGCCAAGTATTCTTCATTCCCATTCCCTCTTCTTGGAATCATTTTACTAATATACACTGCAGTGTCGGCGATTCCAAGACTCTCGCTATCCACCCTTGGTCCACCACCCATGAACAGCTCACGGAGCAGGAACGTCGTGACTCCGGTGTCAAAGAAGATGGAATCCGGATCTCGGTTGGCACCGAGTACATTGGCGATATTATTGCTGACTTTGAGCAGTCGTTCCAGGCATCAAAGGCTCTGCCGGATCGTACTGCTTAGAAGGCTTTAACACGTGTGGATGCACTCGTGCGTAAAGAAGGAATACACCAGAACACTGCACAGTAGCACGGTAAATTTAGTGATGACCTCGATACGATATGAATGAACAATCTTACAAGACAAATACTACAAGTAAGACTTGTCTGTAGACAAGGCTGAGCCAAAAATTTCAACCATTACAAGGGAACCATGAGGTTATGTCAAAAAGTTAGTTGAATTCTCTCGTTAGGTTTGTTTCATCCGAATGTGTCCACCATATTCAATCACCATTGGCGAGACCTCATGCACAACTGTGGAAATTAGAAAGGTAAGAGAAGTGCAGAAAGAACGAAAACCTCCCACCGCCGAATGATATGCCTCGAGATTAAAAAGAAAAAGTCCAATCCCCCAACGCCTTTGCCATGCGCGGTGCGCGCAACCTATTTGGACCATATGCACGCATCAATGAGGAATTAAGAAAAATCAATTGCCCTGACCACCGGAAGGAGGCTGAGAGCCGGGCATACCAGGCTGGCCACCCATCATGAATCCGGGAGGCAGCATGGGCATGCTGGCAAAGTTGAAACCATAGGAAGGAACTGCAGGTGCGGCTCCCTGGTTGTTCATGTTTGGCATATCAAGTTCTCCACCTCCCATCTGGGGCCCACCGCCGTATCCATCACGCTCAGGACGGCGACCGCCGAAACGAGCATCCTGGGGGTTAGGGTTGGTGCGAGTGGAAATTGGGCCACGCTTGCCGCCAGTGTCAGTGGCGATACGACGGCTGATAGCCTTGGAAGAGACACCTGCGCCAATTTCAATGTCGGGCTCTTCAACAATCATTCCAGATTCAATCGGACGTCCACCAGTCCCACCATATTCGGCCGAAAGCATCCACTTGCGATCAGCTTCAGTCAATCTCTCAATCGGGATTATGCTAACTCCAGTCTGGTAGTCGCTGCA